GGGCTCCCCGGGCCCCGCCCCCAGCGCTGCCGCTGCATCCCGGCTGCTGGAAGCAAGAGGACACACGGATGCTGTTTGGTGCCGTCCCCCTCGCCCGGCACCAGGACGAGCGGAGGAGGAGCTGCAGCCTCAGGAACCCACCGTGCTCGGCTGCGCTCTGAACCATTTCAGCTCTGCGTCCCCATTTCATTGACCGTGGGGCGCAGAGACCCCTCCCGCAGCCCCTTCCCAGCCAGCTCGCTTCACCTGACATTCTCCACACACCAAGCAAAGATGGGGAACCAGCATTTCCCTTTCAGCACGTGCTCTCCTAGCAGCTGTCCTTTCACCCCAAAGAGCGCAAGCTGCTCAGCTGCTGTCTGCCCTGTCTTTACTTTTCTTACCCTCTAAGAGGGGACCCGCTGAGGACCAGTCAAGAAGCCCTTTGGCCCTTGAGCATCTCCAAGGACCACGGCTCGGAGGACTGAGCAGATACGTACGGGAAGTCGATCCCAGGTCTGCTTGTGGGAGCCGGCACGGGAATCTGCTCTCTGGAGAACATTGATAGCTCCTGGAGGAGCTTCCAGCCTCCAGCCCAAGGACGAGAAAGCCAAACCGAGCCGACGCAGAGGGACGGCGCCGGTTCTGCCTTTGGGGTCAATTTGCAGCTGCAGCAACTGCTGTGAATGCCATAAATAAGTGCTTTGAGGGGCGCAGGGGCTGGCAGGCTGCCTGTCCCTCCACTCTCCCAGCCCACGGAGATGCTGCCAGAGGCAGCGGGAGTCCCAACAGCAGCGCTGATGCTCGGCACGGGAACGCTCCTGGAAGCGAGCCTGGGCTCTGGGGGCTACCCCACGTTTCCCTTAGCCCCGAGCAAGCGGGTGCAAATTCCCCGTCCTTTCGCCGCCCCCCACTATTGCCTCGCTGGTCCCTGTACCCACGGCAGAGGCATCTCCCCATCGCTCCCCCCAGCACCAGGCTCTCCCCGCGCTCTCGCTCTGCTCTCCCCAACTCGCAGCAAGCCCCGTCCTCACCAGCACGGGGCGTCCCCAGGAAGCAGCCTTTGCCCCGCTGCTTTGCCAGTTCCCGTCCCCTGCCTGTGTCGCCACCCTTTTTATGGCCCTGCCGGAGCCACCGACTCGTGGGCTCATCAGCGCCGCGCTCGGGCCAGGCGGGCCCCCCTCAGCACCCCACCGGGCCCTGGCCCCGGCCACGCGCTGTCCCTGGCCCCTGGTCGGCAGCTCCTTCCCAGGAGGTGCTTCTTCCTCTCCAGCAGTTTCCTGGGCTGCAAATATAGAGGAGCACATGCATTAAATGCACACATTTGCACGGAGCTTTCAAATGCACTTTTCTGCCTTCAAGGGGCAAGTTGCCTCTAAACACAGCAAAGAAGCGGAAAGCCTTGAAAGCCGATGGAAACACGCTCTGTGTATAAAGACCTCCAAATTACCATTCGGGCTTTGGGTTGTTACAGATTTAACCCTTGATTTCTCAGCAATGGGCATCAAACACAAAGCTGGGGACGCAAGCCCAGGCCAGGTGCGGATGCAGGGGTGGCTGGAGAGATACTCTGGCCCCTGCCTTGCTCCTTACCCTAAGCACAGGCCCGCTGGGATGAGCCAGGACCTGGGCAGTGTCCAAGGTGTCTGGGGAGGCTGCTCTGACCCAGCTGGAATTTCCTCTGCAAATCCTGCTCAATCCATGCACATCAGGAGCAGCTCTTGGGACGGACCTGCCCAGCCCCTGCTGCTGCTGGATCCCAAGGCTCCAAACTCGCATCCCGGTGCCCCGTGTTGTGCAGCGACCTCCTCAGTGGCTGCCCTGGAGGTACTGGTGAGGATTGGGAGTTGCAGTGGACTGCAAATCAGTCCTGCCCGTTCATCCATATTCCCCAAATCTCTGGGGCTTCTTGCAGGGAATCCGGCTCATTATTTTTTCAGAGCTGGGAACAGAAATAACTGATGGTGAGTGAATAATCCATGAGGTTTCAGCTGAGCAGCATGTGTGCGTGTGGCTGTTTGAAATGAAAGAGAAAACACTTAACTCCACCCCAAATGTCTCTGTGAGGGCGCCGGGGCTCTCCAGGCGCCGTGCAGACACGCGGCAGCTCAGCCCCATCAGCAGCCCCTCGAGCTGCTGTGGGAGGAAGGTGCCTCCAAGGAGCGCGTTGCAAGCTGCCCAACCTCAGCGCTGGTTAAAAACGGGCCGGGAGCTGCCTCGAAACCTGCCTGCTCTTGTGGCCAAGGGCTTTGCCCGCAGCTCCGGCTCGCTGTGCATTAGCGCCGGGCTAAGAGCAGACTCACGCTGTGGCTCTTCGCTTGGCGCCTCGCAGCTGAGAGCGGCCCCGAGGCAGCTCCTCGGCCCCTGCGAGCCCACGTGGCACCGTGAAATCAAAGGAGTCATCACTGCGAGAGGAGCAGCTGCTCCGGGAGCGCTATATATAGACAGCTGCTCTCCGAGACATCCGTGAACTTTCCTGGCTTCTTTTAACCTCTCCGGCTTAGGCGGAGGCTCCGTTGCTTGTAACGTGCTGGCTCTCTGGAGCCCCCAAAGTGGCTGAAGCCAGAAGGGACATGAGTATGGGGCACACGCAGCATGCGGAGAGAAGCAGCAGGGGGGATTCGCGCAGGTTTCTTTGGCATAGGGAGCAAGACACAGGAATGGGAATGCAGGGGCATGTGGGGTCCTGATGTCTCGAAATCTCCAGCTGTCCTCTGCTCCCCAGCTCTGGAGCACCCTCCAAGGATGCCCATTCCCACCGTTTGGCCACCCAGCTCCTAACACAGAGCTTCGGAACGGGGAGAGGAAGCCCTTGCCCTCACTGGCCACCGCACAGAACTCAGCGCAGAGACGCAGGGGAGTTATAGCCCAAGGGGGGATTTTGCAGCTGCTGCTCCAAGAAAGCCCTGGCAAACGAGAAGGCCAAGGTCCAACCAAAGAGTTTACTTCAAAGACAAAATGAAGCCAGCAGGATACAACCCGAGGTAGAAAGACCGAGTCAGACACAGGCTACCTACACAACCCCTGGCATACATCGGGTATGGGGGGTTTCTCTCTGCTACCCATACATTGCTACCAGACCCCTAGAAGGTCACTTCATATTAACGAACACCAATAGCCCACCAGGTAAATAATGTCTGGCCGGAACACACGCGAGGCCCCCAAAACCCTCCACCCACCACAGAAAGACCCTTCTCGAAAGCAGCCAGTGGGCGAAAAAAGCCCCTCCTGGAGATGCTGTGGGGCCGGAGCAGGGGAGGAAGAAGAGCGGAGAGCCACTCCGTGCCGCAGGGGGCTGTCTGCAACGGGGCTGGCCAGGCACGTGGCCGCGCATTGGGAGGAGGAAGCCCGGAGCCTTCGGCCCTTGCCCCGCGGCGGGTCGGAGACGGCAGGTCAGAGGCAGGACGTGGCGCGAGGAGGTGGCCTGGCGCTGCTCATGGGCTCCGCGCCGGGGACATCCTCCACGGGCATCGCGTGCTAGGCATCTGGGGTGACCAGCTGCGAGGAGGAGGAGGAGGATGTGGCGGAAGGCGGGGGAGCCACCGCACCGCGGCCCAGGCGCCTCACACTCACCTCAGCGTAGCTAGGCAGCTGCGGCAGCTCCGC